TTGCTCCACGCGAGTACGTTGCGGCGAAGACGAAGCCGCTTTCAAAGCGCGTTTCCAGGCTGCCTGGAAGGAGCAACTCAGCCTGCTTTGGACGATGCTGACATTACGTTTGGCATAAATGCCTGGTATCGAAGCGGTCTGTCCCTACAAGGCTCTTGAAAAAGAAACGCTTCATGCGCGCAAGATGCGTAAGCCTGCTGATATGTCTCTCGGGCTTATGTCAACAACTCAGTCGGATGAACACCGATGAATTCCTCGTCTACCACCTTTTGGACCAACCAAACTTGAACCAGACGAAGTCATTCGATTGTTTGTCATGGAATTCCACCTCGTGATGAAGAAATGGACGAACACGACTTCGATCCTTTCTCAGTTCTATCGGAGAAACCATTGGATTCTGCGAACGCATGGAATCCTCCGAAACTTTGCAAGGGCGTGATGCCAAGCAAGCTCATAAGAAGAAAACAAAGAAGTACAAAGTCTAATCGCAACAACGAATCTCCAAGAACGAAGAAATGTGTGACTACCACGAGTTCAGCACTCACAACACTGCTACTGCATGACCTGAAGAAGCTCAAGGCAAGTCCAGTCCTCGTCTGACAACGATAACAAGCCAGGTACAACAAGACAAGACTTGGAAACGCAGTCCGACGACGCAAGACCTACACCAAGAAAGAAACTCTCTGTCCTATGAAGAAATTTCCAACGCTGCGGTCAAGCCTGATCGCAAAAGAAAAACAAATGCAACCATGTTGCCAAGCGCAAGTCAGACAACTGACAACGAGGACGACTCCTCGTTGGATCCATCAAAATGATGGACAAGAAATGGCTGCCGTTGACAAGGCGCTGCCGATTCGACTTCAATCATTCGATGGAGAGATCTCCGTCTGAGGATTAGGCCAGGAAGCTTCCTCAATCGGCATGAAACCGACCTAAAATAGGGTCGGATTTAGGGTCGGATTCCCCTTAGGGTCGGGTTTCGAAACCGACCCTAAAAATAGGGAGTCTGAAAATAGGGACGGTTTCTGAAAAACCGTCCCTAATTTAGTGGTCGGGTTTTCGTTTTAGGGTCGGGTTTGAAAACGTCCCTAAATAGAACGGACGGCCTGTAAATAATTTGAAAAGCACCAATATTAAGGGTCGGGTTTCGAAAACCGACCCTAAAATAGGGACGTTTTCTGAAAAATGGGGACGGTTTCTGAAAAAACGTACCCTCTAATTTGGGACGTTTCGATTTAGGTCGGGTTCGAAACCTCCCTATATTTAAGGACGGGTTCCCCCAAACGACCCTAAATTAGGGCGGATTAAAAGTCATGCAGGATTGAGGAACGCTCCAGGATGATGATTCAAGGAACATGTTCCGATTTCTATACCTAAGTGATAAGATATCTCACTAAAGTAAACAAGATTTGTTTGCAACTAATGAAGTTTACGCAAATTAGATATTCCTAGAAGCTGCTCAACAAGACCTGACGATCTTTCAGCATCGTTAACTCGTCCATGGCCAATCAAACTCACAACGTCGCAAGACAAGAGACTCAAAACTATCGTCTATTTAGTTAACAGACAGAAGAAAGGAAACAAAAAACCCGTTACAACTCTGTTGCTTACTGGATAAGAGAGCATCCGGGAATTTAATTATCAAACTCATGCAAAGAGTTAACTCATGAAGAATCATGGGCGTCCAAACATTACGACTGCTTCTATGAATGAATTGAAACCCCGCACGAAGTGAAAGGGCACACTCGTGATTCCTGAGTTCCACGATAATGAATTATCGAATGGAATTTGCACGTCACCAAGAACTTGGGGCGCAGACATGATCATAGGTCAAGACACCCCTTCGACCTAAGAATCAAGTTGATTTCACTACCATGTATGGAGTGGAACAGCAATTTTCCCTGCGAAAGATGGCAATACGAATAGAAAGGAGAATTCTCCATTCCGATCTGCAAGCTGTCAGCGACAATGCAGATAGTCTCAAGAAGATTTTGATACGAATACGAACAAACAGACTTAAGGCAGATGGCCAGAGTCGAAACCAGTTAAATAAGAAAGAGCAAGAACTGCCCCATCCTTCAACCAAGGCTTCGCCCAGATCGAGGATAACTTTGGGAGTGCAGATGGACACTACGAAGTAGAACTCGTCCCGACGCTAAATCCTATTATACTAGGGCTCAACCCTACTCCACGGGTCCATACAAACACTCTTAAGAAGGAGGTTGAACGTCTCTGCGAGGCAGGAGTACTCAAGAAGGTGAATCGTTTCCAGTGGGCGGCACCAACTTTTATCATTCCCAAGAAAGATGGATCTGTACGTTTCATCTCTGATTTCCGGAACCGAACAAAAGGATCAAGCGGAAGCCTTATCCTATCCCAAAAAACAGGACATGCTCTTGAACCTAGATGGATTAAGTGCGCTAAGTCTAGACCTGAACACGGGACACACCAATCGACTGTCACCTCACTCGAAGCAACACTGTACCATTGCACTCCCGAAGGGAAAGCACGAGTGCCAGAGGTTGCCAATGGGCTTGTAATAGTCCCGACATCTTCCAAAGGAAGATGAAAAACGCATGCAGACTTAGAAAATGTCCGTGCATATCTGATGATCAACATCCTAATGACTGCGATCTGGCGGATCGCGTTAATAGTTAGATGACCCTTTTCCAAAAACTTCAAAAGTCGGGGTTAAAATCAACACTACCAAGGCCTTCTCGAAAGGAAGAACTTGAGTATCTAGACAATTGACTACTCGAGAAGAACCAACCTTAACTAAAAAAGATAACAGATGCACACAACTATCGCTCTTCCTACCAACAGGAAGGAACTTCGTGAGATTCATTGGACCAATAAAACCAAGGGCTGCTCCAAGACGGCAGACGGAGTAACCATCGTTCTGAAACAGGACGTGGGTTACCCAGTATCCATACCGGTGTCATGGACAAGAACGTGAGTCCCGCGCAGGGATGGGAGGAAGGATTGGGTTGTCACGCAGCTTAGACTCGAAACTGGTGTATGCGTCTTTGGCAATCTTCATGGTGAGGAATAGGTGAGGGTAGCTGAAAGCTATTGTGTTTGTTAACAAAATGCACTACGCTAAAAGTAGTGTAAAGATCTTTCGAGTGTTTTGAGTTTGAGAGAATGAAAGTTATGAGAGGATTAGAAAGCTATGAAAACTAATCAACGAGAGAGATCCACAATCAAGGATCGTAGATCTGAACTCCCGCGGAGACTGTAGAGTGTGATAGAGTAGGTTGCGGTAGCAATCCTACTCACTCCACGATCAAAAACGGAACGCGTGGAAGATTCGTCTAGCATTTATCTAGTAGCGTGGAAGTACTCCACGCTGGCTAAAATCTAGAGCGATGTTTCATCATCAACCTAGTATGACTAGAGCGGTCATTGAGAACCCTGTCTCAATGACTATTCACGAGAGACTCCGTCATGAGTCGAACTCAAACCCTATCTAGGATCGAGTCGCGAAATAAGGCTAAGAGCCGTTATTGCACTTTACAGCTTTTATAAATTGCGGGCCTATTCTAGAAAATAATCAATAACTGCTCACTTATTTGGAAATACAAACTTTACATCTCTTAGATCGTTAGATTAATCAAATCCACAATGGTATTGTCGCACAGAGGTGCGGCAGATCCGCGGTACATTCCTCTAGACGCACACTTGCTCCTACTTTATGCTCTCGGAGTGTAGTAGCTTTGAGGTTTTGCTTGGGCTGGACTCTTTCCCAATTTCTGTAAAGCCCTCAGATGCATTTCATTGGAGGTATAACTGTGTTGGGAGTAACTAAGGGAAGCTGGCTTTGCTTTGTGATTCAGCCTCAACTTTGTGCTTGATGTGACAGAAACCCCTCATGTTGGCCACCTTTTGGGCTCCCCTGGTTGGATTGAGCATGAATAGAGAAACGCGTTGAAAACATGGTGTTTTGTAAGGAGGGAAGAGCTTGCTAGGCCACAGAGCTTCATCTCGATCCATCGGGACCCGCGACGGCGCCACGGCACTCGGGCGGCTGTTCCTCAGTTTACCTTTGGATCGTACCATACAGTATTCTAACCTATAGTAATGTAGACTATCGTACCGACACTAAACTATGGACAGAATGATCGATTCGATTGATTCAATCGGACCAGCAGCACGGGAGCGGACGGACAAAGACTGTGGGAGCAAGCAACTTACTACTCTAGAGGATGTATGCCTGGCTACAAACAACCTTGTCCAAGTGCGGTATCGCTCCTCTAACTAGACTGCATGTACTTGTACTTGTACTTGTACTTGTACTTGTACTTGCAGTGCAGCCCAAGACCGAACCGTCCGTCCTCTGTGTCCTGTCGCTGCAGCGGCAGCAGGACGATTGGCTGGCTGCTTGTGCACACGGAGGCAAAAGCCTGTGGCTTCAATGATGTGCTGCCTGTCCAACCGGTAAGCAGCCAACATGTATCGAACATTGGATCCGTTCCCACCGCAAGCCAAGCCTTTGATTGGATGAGTCGAGTCATTCCCTACAATTGCAGACGTCGGAGTGAAGAGGTGCGATGAGCCGAAATTCAATGCCGTGCTACGCCCGAGCTATGTGCGATAGAGAGGTCTCTGAGGCTCCCGATAGCTTTACTTCAATTACTTCTTATTGGTTTTGACATGCATCTTCTCGCTCTGATGATTCCGCTTTCAAGTGCGTTTGTGTGCTTTGCTAGATTTTCGCTGCGCAAGCACCGTACTACCGCCCTTGGCTGCAGGTTCCCTTCCATTGAAGCAATCAACTTCACCACATACAGTCGTACTTAGTTAGACTTCAAAGCCATCTTCAAGCTAGCTACGTCACTAAGCTAGCTAGACATCTGAAGCTGTAGCGGCGGTGTCAATGCTACCGTACGAAAGGCCATTGCTTGACACAAAACCATCAACTTGATAAGTTTTCCGGGGCTTGGTGTCCCGCGGCTTGCTGCTGCGCCAGTCACACCAACTCAGCAGAGTGACGTTTCACGGAGTTGAAACACAGAACACGACCGGTGACAGCAATTTTCGGTCCTCTCTGTGAAGACTGAAGACTCCAAGCAAAAACGGAGTATTCTTGTTGTTTTCGCTCACAATTTTGCGAAATCTTTCAACTCGAAAGCTCACAATCTCAAAGCAGAGCCAAAGGTAGCCAAATTTAGTTCCCTGAAGCCACAACTTAGTTCCTCTTGTCTTGCCACCACTGAACTTCAACACCATGATTGGAACTTCATCGATTCTTCGCACTATCCCCAAGACTGCTGCTCTCGCGAAACAAACTGCTGCCAAGGCCTACTTTTCATCGGAGTGTGCACCCGCGCTCAAGCTCCAGCAAATTTTTGAACAATACAGGCAGGAGCACTTCTCTCGTGAACTGCCATCTCGATTTCGCAAAGAGATGGTGAAAATTATCGAAGGTCCTGACCATCTGGTGGCCGTGGACAACTTCAATCTTATCCTCTCCAACATTGGACGCTCTGATGCCTCTCTTTCAGAATCAGAAATGAACGATTTGCTGATGGCCGCTGGGTCTTCAAGCCGCAAGATCCCTGTGGAGCAGGCCATGATGCTGCTTTAATTGCGCCACCATTCCACCTGCCTCCGACCATAAAAGAACTGCAGCGCCACTGGGAAAGAAACTTGATCCCATTTCCCAATCAAAGTACAAACGGGGGAGAAACGAAAGACTAGAGTATACAACAAGAATAGAACTTAAAAAGATGTCAATAAAAGAATATTTGTTAGAAACATAGCGGCCTATTCTTTCACATGGCTCTTGAGACAAACGTTCCTTTGAGTCATCCGAAGATGGAGAGTTTGCTCGTTCTACCTGAAGTTTCATGCTGTGGTACCTGGAGTGGCATAACAGCGACCATGGACCATATAGCAGTCTTCGCGTGAAGCGAGATCAACGTGGCAACGTGGCTTTGGCTGGGTGTAGTTCCATCATAGGAAGGGCAAAGACAACAACAGCAAGACAACAATAGCCCCTTGCGGTGGTCACACTTTTTCTCGAAGCAATGGATTGCTGTCGTTAGAAAGAACAACCTTTCCAACCGTTTGGCCAGAACGAAGAGCTCGGAGGGCGTCGGGAGCTTGCTCAAACGGGAAAACCCCTCCCAGCACGGGAGGCGTGGCTGAAGCAAGCGATCCGTCTGCAGCCCCTCCTTCCAAGCAATCGATGCATTGGGACAAGCCCTCCGACAACCGCTCTGTCCTTTCAGTCAAAAAGATTAGATTGAAGCCGCCGACCCGAATGTTGCGTGAAGTTAGTTCCCCCGGATCCACCTTAGGCCGGTTGAGAAATTGCCATGCCAAAGGTAGGAATGACAGTCTGTTGCCACCAGCCTTTCCGTTGTAGGTAGTTGATCCGTACGTCGCCAAGGAGCCACCAGCATTGATAAGGTCCAGAGAGGGTTGGAAGTATTTGCCGCCATAGGACTCCATCACATAGTCTGCACCCCAGTTGACAGCAACAGCATCCTCTGCTGTTTCAATGGGTAATGGAGGGTCCAAAACACCCAGCCTCGTGGACCTGACTTTGACAATGGCATTCAGTAGGTCCTTTGCGAATTGATTGGCATCAGGGCTGCGAACAATGCACTGGGCTTCGGGACAAAGAGGCTGGATGCGGTCTCGAAATGTTGCCAGTTTATGCCAGCTCCCAGCAACACCAACCACAAGAGCACCTCGCCTTGCCGCGATTTCACAAGCGTATAAGCCGACACCACCCACAGCTGAGTGTACAACGACTACCATTGGATGCTCTTTGTCGCTCTTATTCCCCTTCTGGGGCATACCAGCCACAGTGACGAGGCCATGCCAGGCTGTCAGGGCATTGACTAGAAAAGCAGCACCTTGAGCAAACGTCCACTCGTTGGGTAGCTTTCGTAGCACTCGAGGAGAAGCCATTACTTGATCCGCGTACGCATCAAAGCGTGTGAACCCAAAGACACGATCGCCCTGTGAAAAATCGTCGCAGTTGTTCGTGACAACACCTGCAAACTCCAGACCTGGACAAAAGGCTCGTTGTTCTTTGTTGCCTCTTACTAGATTGGCCGCATTGTAATACCCGAGCACTGTAAAAATGTCGGCAAAGTTGAGTCCTACAGCTCTCGTTGCAACCACGACTTTGTTGTCTTTGGCTGTTGCTGGTGAATCTTTTCCCTCTACCTCATGGTCATCTTCATCGGCGTCGAGTAACAGCCGCGAAATGTCACCAAACGGCACCTTTTCCGGGATTATCCACTTTCTCGGTTTCCCATCAATGCCTAATGGCTTTGCACTGTGGAGGCTAACAAGGATGACAAGAAGAAAATAAGCAAAGACATGAGACATCCTGATGTAGAGCACAAAATGTCACGCTGGCTCCAAGTTGCAAGTATTGAAGCGTGAAAACGGCGGAAGAACCAATGGAGTCATTGCGCGACCAGACAGACTAACGAGGATATTTCTGCACCACCTCTTCCCAATCCTTGCAAGGATTGAATCATTCCCCTTGTTGCCTCCTGTCATCTGAAACTATCTTTGACAAATACCAGTACCACCGTCAAATTCTTGCTTTAGCCAGAAGGACAAGTGGGATTAGCATCTGTGAATCAACTATTTCGGATGGTGTCAAACGGTACGGTACCGGTACTCGTACCGGTACATGTACCTACCGTAGTAACTGTGAATAAAGCCGACCTGCGTGTGGGAACCAAAAATCCAAGCGTTACTGATGTACCGTTAGAAGATTGGCCTTGCTTGCAATGCCGTTGTCCGGTTCGTTGTCCAAATCCGATCGAATGGGACAACAATATCAAAAATGCGAGCCGAGGTTCTGCTCTTGTTCTTTTATTAACTTAATAATATGGTCCGTCGGATCTTCAACCAATATGAGCTCAACAACAAATCTAAATGAGGAAAGTGGTGCTAAGAGAATTGACGATTTAAAAGTGTATTATGTAGTAGGCTTTAAAGTGACAGAGGATGTGCGGAAGAGGTTCGATGTTGCATGTTTCCTTTCTTGTTCGAATTACATTCTGTGCTCCACAAAGTGCACAGGCAATCGTCTTCTGATGTCGGTCGTGTCTCCCATGGTTGCTCTGCTTGCAAAGTTGTATTGGATCATAGATGCAAAGTGGCCAACGACCCCATTGTCCATACTGTGTTTTCCGGTCCTCGAAAGAAAGATACTCGAATCTTCTTCCTTCTCCTTGGGAACTTCGTCGTCTTCCATTTCATCGTTTACTTGAATAATATCGTGATAGTGGTGCCCATTGTGCTCGATGCAGTATCCATGGGTAGATGAAAGGTTGGATGCATGCACTGCCAAGTCGCCATCATTGATGGCGTGTTCTTGATAAAGGGCAACCGTTCTTCTTCCACCGTCGATGGTACCATTGGCTCCACCGGCACAATGAGAGTCGCTGGAAAGAGAGATTTCAATAGAAGGCATGATGATGATAATGAAAGAATAGGTTCAAAATGTTGTGGCTTTGATAAGGACGTGGAAGGAATGGGTTTGCTGATATGATAACTGGTTTGATCGTTCTTTGTTTGGTTTTGCGGAGCTGAGTTTGTGAGCGAGTGAATTTGATCGGATTTTGTGTTCTAAACGAACTGGGTAACAACACGACCAACCCTTCTCATCCCCTAATTGATCGGATTGATTCGGGTAGACTTTTCATCTGTGCTGGCTTCCCTGCTTGATGTCACACGTTCTTGCAAAGAAAGGATTTGGCAACGGCAAAGTTCAACCACCCTGTTGGTTCATGTACATGTACGTGGACTACCGTGCGGTACCAACTGGTTCGGTACTGGTACCAGTTTGGAACGATGGGTGCGCTTTGGAGATGGATGTCTGATACCGTTGGTACCAGTACTGACAGGGGGTAGGTGGCACTGCATACAGCTGTTCATAGAGAGCAAGCCTGCAGCCTAATTCAGGCATGACAGGCGATGCCTTGCCTGTTCATTTGCACAGGCGCTTGTTCATATAAACAGGATATCGATGTCCTGTTCACATGGACAGGAACCTGATCACATGGACAGGAGGAACTGCCAACGTCCTGTTCATATGGACAGGAAATCGACAGCCTGTTCAAAGCTACAGGATCCTGTCCAAGCAGTACAGTTGCCTCTTCCATCAGGCAGGATTTGATACTTCATTTTTTTCTCAAAGTGCAAAGTCAAGTTACACCAACAATTTTTGTCCTTTTAAGCACTGTGATTGTCTTTGTGTGATACCACTGCAAACAAGGGTTACCTGAAACCTCCACTACTAGCTACTGGGCATTACGACAGATCTACCAAATAAAATATTTTTAAGGTGCACAAATCCGTAGAGGATGCGTATTTGAGTAAAAGCACCTCTGTGGAAGCACCTCTATTGACACTCCTTCCCTGGTACCTACCAAGCACCTTGAAGCATCCCTGCTAGCAAGGTCACGAAACGAGGCTCTTTTGCTGAAACTGATGTAAGTTTCACGGAAATGTTAGTTTCACCAAAATGGACTTCGGTTTCCTTGAAACTAAACCAGAAGCGTGAAACTAACCCCAAAAGTGTGAAACTAACTAAAAGCGTGAAACTGATGCTTTGAAACTAACCAAAAGCGTGAAACTGATGCTTTGAGTCCCGTTTTAGGACCTTGATGAGCCCTGCTGGTATCCACACTCGCTCCTTCTTTGATACTTAGGAAAAAAATTGATGTATCAAATCCTGTGTGATGGAACAGGCAACTGTACGACTGTGCTGTTTGGGCAGGAGCCTCTAGATTTGAACAGGCTGTTGATTTCCTGTCCGTGTGAACAGGACGTTGGCGGTTCCTGTCCATGTGAACAGGACATCGATATCCTGTTTATATGAACAAGCGCCTGTGCAAATGAACAGGCAAGGCATCACCTGTCATGCCTGAATTAGGCTGCAGGCTTGCTCGCTATGAATAGCGTTATGCAGTGCCACCTACGTGTACCCCTGCCACCGTACTACCGGTATGTACCGTAGTGTACAGTACCGATATGGTTGTAGGCTGCACAGCTGCCAATGCACTCAGCCACTCGTACCAAAATTGGGCATTCTCCAGACAACTCCCGACACACTCCCGACTCACTACGTCAACTGGTGTATGCTGATGAGACGTCCGTTTCACAGGTGGGGAAGGCGCAAAGGTTCTTTCTTCTTCTCTCCTTCTGGCGTTCTCTTGTTCTCTCGTCTCAAGCCAGTCAGAGCTACGATGTACGGGTTACGGGTATACCTGTACCTATCCCACGAGGCAAACGCCAAAACACGCAGCACAAAACACTTTGGAGATGGGCTGCCTCCGAACTAAAATTGCACCCACCCATTGAAAGGTCGACAGATCATGTAAAAGAATGCAATTATTTATCTTATTTTAAATGTAAGGATCCAGCGCAGCTTCTGCTACGTTTGTTGGCTGGTGGTTCCTCGTCGCTTGTCCTTTTGCAACGGCAAGTCCCAAAAGGCAAGGACGTAACAGTGAGTATCATAAATTACCGTAACACTACAACATCTTTCTCTCTCTCTCTCTCTCTCTAACTGTATCATGGCCTGGTCGCTTCTTGACTACAATCGGTGTTCCACGAAGTTCACGGTGGCGGGATAACGTCGTGTCCTCTGATAGTCGGGTTCTTCGGAAAAGTCGACTCTGCTAGAAAACCTATCATGAATCATAGTACGGACACGGCTCATCACTCCAAAAGGGTCCTGTGGATCATGCCTCCAGCGTCCACAGCCGAAGCCGCAACCCAATCCGTACGAATCGTCATTGTCTTCTTCCTTCTGTTTCCGTGCAGCGTTATTTCGACTTTCGCTGGTTCTGCCACTGCGCACTTCAGTGTGACTTCGGTTTTCAGACTCTGGGACAGCGACCTCGTCATCAATCAAAGCATTGTTTGACCGCTTCTTGTATCTGCGATCGTGCTTTCCACCAGAAGAACACGAAGCGGAGTCCGCAGAGCTGCTCATTCCGATCGATGTGGACCTCATGGTGGTATTCTGTTGTGGATTCTGAGAGATCGTTCCCGATTCCTTGCTGCTTTCATTAACTTACTGCTTCCGTTGTCTTCCATAAATTGTGGAAGCTTCAAAGGGAAATCTGGATAAGGATTCTTCCGTTGTAGGCTCTGCTAAACGCTCTTCTGTGCGCAAGAGCAACTGCCCGCGATGTACCGTACCAAGAGATTTCTACGTGAGACCTACGGGAGTTGCGGAAGATCTGAACCAACGGTCGGAACGGACCACGAAGCTCACCCTTGGAGAAGGTGCGCAGCTCTTCTTTTGCGCCACAACATATCACTTAGGCATAGAGCACCGCATGCCGTATTGCAGAATACACAAGCCTATGGATATTTATAAAAGATAGAAAGCACTATGATCAAAAGTGGTGCGAGAAGCATGCAACAACGGAGGCCAGGATAGCGTCTTAGGAAATCTTTCGCTGCACAAGTTCGGGATTTCGCGAGGTGGCCACTGACAAGGTTGTCATTGCAACTCGGATGGGGTGTAAGCAAATCTGTGATCGTTCCATGTTGCGGCTGGCCAAGGGTTTGATGGGTTTGCTTCTCTGTTTGGCTGGCTGCATGAGTAGCTTTGGTGTCGGCAGAACAGGTCGAAAGAGAAAACCCCGGCTGTGACTACATGTAGTAGTCGATACGCGGACAGTCAAAAACAGAGAAATTGCGAAAGCTGAAGGCTAGTTTTGCACATCAACCAGCCAAGCACCGACTACCGGTAGCCAGGCTGGCAAGGGAATACCAGGTACGTTTCGACGGTAAGTGCCATTCTGGGTTGACGGTGTCGGTTATTGGCAAGGGAATCGGCGCTTGGTTCTGCGTTCAACGGGGTCGCACCACTACTATTAATAGTACTACCTGGTACTACTAGTGGACACCGGTCGGTACTGGAGCTGGAGCGAAATTGTCTGTGCTAACCCAAGCAGCAGATCCTGGATCGTACATGCACCCATCCCTACGTCCTCCTGTCTTCGTTTGGCGAGCAACACACTGAAGCTGAATTATCACAACTGAACTATGAAGCTTCGGTGAGCGGACATGACTGTGGGAAATACCCGGGCCTCGGCTCGTGGGTCGTCCTCAAGCACAGCTTGTCTGAATCCGTTAATAGACTTTGATTTTTTTTTTGTTGAACTATGAAGCTTCGGGAAAATGCATTCAACAGTTCCAACTTCAAAATTCATTCAACAATAGAAGTTACATGACGGGGTATCAATTGACCTGTGTTGTACTATTGAATTCTAAATTGTTCGGCCCTATTCCAGCTAACCTGAGACAGCTACCAAAGTCCTAGGAGGCCATTCCTCCAAGTCTCCCCCATACCGGACAGCCAAGTGGTCTCTGGAGCAATGTTCCAGGATCCGCTCCAGGTCTTTTTCATGTTTGTGGGGTTTGATGAGACTCACTTTTTCTAGTAGTCCCTTTGGTACAATTGGCCTGACCATGGCAAAGACGAGACTAGCCCAAGTAGGAGCATTGGCAATCAACACACTTGACAATAGTTGTGGATAAACAAATTCCGTTCTCTTGGCTGCTTTGCTTTCTCTGATCTTTTGTTTCTTTTCCAACATGCTCAAGTGCATCCCAGCAGCATCTGACAATCGCAAAGATTTGGTCAAGCGTCCAGTACTTCGGGTAATGACATCGAGGTGCTGAAACAACCACTCGGCAATCATCACATGACACTGGAAGTATTCCTCCTCGGTGAGTTCCTTCACCATGCGTGCTTGATCCCGTTGCTTCAATTGAACCATATTGATGATTCCACGTTGATTGTCGGGCAGGTAGGTTAGGAAAAAGTCATGTTGGCAGCAATTAAAGAGTTTCTTGAGGGATTCTGTATAGGGATGAGTAGTCCTTGTATCAACGTTTTCAATTGACTGCGTATCTTGATTGGAATTCATGTTCAAGTGTCGAATATCAAATTCATCCAACTTGTGCTCCAGGCGAAACTCAAGGGTAGACTTGACGGCTTTCAAAGCGGCTGAATGCTTCTTCTTGTGGCTGACCAGAAATCGCAACAGCCATAAATCATCATGCTTGCTAGCCTTGAAAAGCGGCTCATGGAGGAGAGCAGCGCGAAGCTCGTCCAGTTCGCGTCGGTGGTCCACAATCAGGTCTTTTACAGCTGGACGTTTGTCACGTTTTCCCACAGGGTCAATGGGATGATCAATGCCTTCAGAAGGGGAATCAAGGTCCTGCAGCCAAAGCCAGCTATCAGCCGCTCTCATTGTTGTAGTATTAGTCAGCAAGTATTTTGTTGGTTCGTAGGTTCTAGAATTTGAATTATGAATGTGGGGTATGCCGACAAACAACAACTTTGTCCTCCATACGGTACATAGCCGCGTGCTGGATTTGTATGCATCCTTGGCGCTGCGGCTGGAGACACTGGTAAACACAGAACAATCAATGCACTCGGGGTAACACTGCTACCGGCAGTACATCGAACTTCTGGACACCGTTACCGGTGTTGGTACGAGTACGTACCGTATGGTAGCCTGGGTCGTTGGGTACCGGTACTGATACCTGTATACCTGCATCCACAAAATTCAATTTGACTCCGGATTTGCTTAGACAAAGATGGTACGATACACTGTATAATAAGTTAGTTGTCCTACTAGTCTATTTTAGAAATTTGAACAGATTTCGAGCTTATCAACGTTTGTGATTTACCTGGCTTTAAGATATCGGCGTTTTACCCAACGACCCAGAGGAGCTCTCCCTGTGCCATACAATGCGCTGCAGCTGGAAACAAACTTCTACTGACCGTATCCGGTGCATGTTCGTGGCTTTGAACCTCGCAGGCTCTTTGCCCCAGCTTTCAGAAACCTTCCCGTGGCCGGTGCGTAAGCCAGGTTACCAGGTACCGTTCCGGTACGGAGTAGCTCTGTGTACAGGTGTGCTGGTTCTGAGCATGATAGCTACTACATGTAGTAGAGTAGATCTGCTCTCATCTTTCTTTTAGTTAGAAGCACTCATGTGCCGTACTAAGAACTCGAGTGATAGGCGATCAATACTCGTATGAAAGGCTGCAGTGCAAGGACAATGGACGAATGATAGATTCAATCAATACATGCGACAACCATAACAAGGAAACATGCGAGTTGATCATTTGTCTCCAGTAGCTACATGTAGTACTAAGCTTCTCCAGGCTCATGGAAGGGGTAAGGTGACGCAGTAATGCCATCCAGGCAAGCAAGGTTCTTCCCGCACAGTGAAGCATGGTTGGGGCAACCGCTCACAAGCTAGGACATGGCAAAACAAGAGTCCACCTATCTCCAATGATCATCCCCAGCTGCAAGCAAACTAGGAGAACGTGCCGTGTAGCTTTCAGAACGCCCCCGGCAAGACGAACCCGTCCGACCCGGATTGGCTCCAGCAGTGCTAGCTAGGATCTTCTTTTGGAGTTTGTTTTGGATCTTTTTGAATTCGATGTTGCTTCGAATTGACCGTCGGATATTAGGGAGACTTTGGATGCCTCTTTACTTCAGTGGTATCCCAAGTTTGTTGATTTCATTGAAAGCCTACCCGACGAAAGGTATTCTGATTTGGAGAAACATCCTTTGATTTCAAAGGTGGTGAGGAGTCTGAAGAGTGTCGGTGCGTCTGTGTTCGTTGTGCTCCAACAACTACCTGGTACCCTTGTTCAATGGAAGATGCCCTCCGTAGAAGCTCCCTCCCAGTTGTCGTCGCCGCCCTCCTTGAAATTTGAGTTCTTCTGATTCAAATATTGTTGATGCAACAGGTCGAGGAACTGCCTCGTTTGCGGTGCCAAATCTTCTGCTCCCCACCCCTCATCAAGGTTCTCGAGATGCTGACTCAACTCAGTGGACCCTTCGACATCAAAGACCAAAAACTTTGTCCACACGAAATTTTCGTTTGTCCCTCCAAGAAAGCAGCCAAGTTGTCCTTACCCCACTCCGCCATCTCGCGCACCCACTCTATCAACGCCACTACTTCTGGTGTGGCGCGGAGTGTGCGGTTTCGCTTCCATTGGAGGAGACTGTCGATTTGCTCAACTGAAAGCTCGTTTTGGTGCTGGATTGACAGGAAGGAGGCCACAAGACTTTCTGCCTCTGCCTGACCAAACACTCGCTGCAGGTCCTTTCGCTCTCTAGCGTCAGCAAGAAAATTTCTTGCTGCAAGAGAGTTTGGTCAAAGCTCCCGCGTCTCTCCTCTATGAATGTACGTGCCTCAATTCGCCTTGCTTGTGCCACTCTGCTCTTCTGTTCCCTCCCCGTTGGCACTAGGTACCACGACTCCAGAGGGACACACTCACCTTCCGCTCCTCTCGGCTACAGTGACCTCGTGAAGATTTTGAAAACACATCACCCCAATCTCTAATAATCTCCGGGGAATTGGACTGTGGGCATCACTCTTCAGCTACCTGTAGCTAGGCGATGGCAGGAAAGCTGCTTTGTTCTTCGGTGCTGTTGGGCGAACAAAGGACAACGAGAGAAAGGACTTTAGAACTAGGCAACCACAGCACATTGGGAGAACGTAGCTTTCAGAACGCTCCCGGCAAGACGAACCTGTCCCACACGGATTAGTTCCAGCAATGCTTGGCTACCTGACAAGAGACAAGACGCTGGAAACATCGGAAACGATCTTGTCAATTTTCACCCTTCGAATTCTTGCTGGGGTCTGCCTACGCGTGGGACGGTAGCCGGAGTTTTGCTGAATTAGTGCGGCTTGCGCTGCGGCGTGTGGGTGGTGCCTGGATAAGTCGTGGTTTGAATCACGAACTTACTCTGTACTCGGTAATAAGATTGAACATCATGAATTGACCACCCCAGCACCTCAAAAGCAGGTCAGCCAATTAATGTTGCTTCCGAAACCGACCTGCACGGGAAGCGTGCGTCAACGATTAATCTTATCGCCGAGGTAGAAACGCACGTCAATACTGGTAAAAGGATTGGTACTATAGACAAGTTCAGTACTTCAGTTTGGAGGGTTCTGAAAGCGACATGCGAGTGACATGTTACGGCTCTGTAATTACTGTAGTACGAATAAGGATCCTTTATTAAACTTTTAAGTGGGTTCACTCAACTGGTCTTTGGGTGTATTAACGCGTTAACGTCATTTATGTCTCACACCACCAAAAACGCAGCGTTCACCTTTGCGTGGATGCTCCACTCTGCACTCCACGCTCCACCAGGAGAACAACAGCAAAAACAAAGCAACAGCAGATCTCCGCCCCAACAGCAGCACCCCATCCAACAACAGCGACGACCTTGCGGAACCATCCATCTGTGTTTCGGTGTTTGTGGATCTGTCTCTTGCCACTACACGGAAGACGAGCTACTACTAGTCAGTCTGAATCGGAGCATAGGTCGCATTGTCAGAAACAACAGCACGATAGCAGAAGAGATAGAGTCATACTAATACTTTCGGCTCGCCAAACAAGGACAATGAGCGGTCGCGTGGAGATTGGATCGAAGCGCAGTCGCAACTGCGTGAGCCCGCCTCCAACCGTAGACGATGAAGAAGACCACGCCAAGGTCAGCAGCAGCAGTAGCTCTGATACGACGAGTAGTAGTGCCAACGCTCCAGCGAATTTGGTATGGAAACAATGGACGTCCAACTTTCGCAAGACTCGTCGACTCGAGAACGACCTGATTGTGGAAGAAGGGATCGATGCAGCTGTGGAGCGACACATGAGTTTGAACAAGAAGCGGTCACTGATGGACGACGACAGTGATTCAGACGATGAGGGGAACTACTACAAACTCGACGTGCCACAACGGCGACATCCTCTGGAATTCACGCCTTCGGGGTTTTTGCCGCGGCTGGGACCGCAGCAAGTGACTCCTGTCTCGTGTGATCCGGGTGCCTTGCCCGTTTGTTCCCTGCGTCGATACGGTCATGGAGATGAAGAAGACGAATTTGCAGATCGAATACCGCCGCCTCCGCCTTCGTTTCATCGATATCCCAGTAAGAAACGCGCCGTGGGCTTGGCGCGACCGGAACCCGAGCAAGACTTTTATAGTCGCACCATGGCACCGCCGCTATTCACACGGGGAGTCAGCAGTTTGGCTATCGAAAAGGAGGGGCTCTTGAAAAAATTGGCTGCAAATTCGACGGTCAGTAGTGCTTCTACTGCATCGACGGCAACAACCACTACTGCTCCACTCTTTTCCGCATCACTTCCCCCTCCATCGTGGCCTCCCGCGCCTCCCATGCTAGGTCTTGCTTCCAAATTACAATCATCGCTTCCACAGGGAGACGCCAAGTCGAATAACCTTCAAGAAAACGCCGTAGCCAACTGAGCTATGTCCTTTTTTGTAATATCAATAACTCAACAAATCCCCTCTGCTCCGGATGGAATGGCAGGATTTTTCCCCGATTTATTTAGAATCCCAGAATTAGAACTCACGCACAGCAAAACAAAGGTGGATAGGAGTCCAAAGAAACCTTCCCAACGATTACTACCAATGCTGGTGGTACCATTTTATTTGTTGTCCGCAAGGGACTGACATGATAGGCAGCTATGTATCTACCGTAATGATTCTCGTTTCCTTAGAAACATCACAGGAAGAAACATTCTACTAGCTACCGGTATTGTGCAACGTGTACGGTACCAAGTCAGATCCACACTAAAGAAAGGCGGTGACGATACCGGTAGAGTTTGTAGAGGAACGAACAATCCAAAACACGAAACGGGGTTAGACCAAAGAGAACGGAATTCGAGCATCGAACGCAGGATCCTAGTCCGGGCACTGATTACCAGGCCAGAATCATTCGATTCGGGGACGGCGGTAACTGGAAAGGCTTGCTGGATGCTGCAAATAAAATGAAAATCCCGGCGGAGTCGAGTTACATACGGTGACGGAGATAGATTTTGGCCAGCGTTGTCACTCACGAATAATCCTTTCAGTGGCGGCAGACACGTGGGAGTGTTGGCATGGGATAACTAGATCTGAATGTAAGGCCGCTACAGTACGGACATGAAACGTTACGATAGACAGTAAGAGCGGGAGGTTGAGCTTGGACAACAGCCAGCCAGTAGGCGACCACGACGTGCGACTGGCTCGTCATTGTCCAATTCGGGTTGAATGCATTCCAAATGCATTGATTTCGTACCGTGCTCTGGTTTCGTTTCGTCAATGTACATGTAGCAACCGGTGGACTGTCAGTTGTTTGGCCCTGGCTTTGCTTACAGAATGGTTGAATCGAATAGTTTCGTGGTTGCTGAGGGGTGGCATGACGGCAAAGTGACAATCTACCAGTACATACGACACCAGCCACAAACCACTCGACTCCGTAGAAGATTACGAAGTCGTTGCAGTCCGACACAAGATCGAATCCCACAACATTGAAGGCGTCACAGCGCGTTCATTGATCCAGATGTGGGACCTGGCTGGTGTTGCCTTGACATCATTTGCTTGGGGAAGCTTCATGTATTGAAGGGCGTCCCGTTGGAATGGGTTCTAGCCTGGATTTGGTCTAGAGGGACAGGTAGAAGCGTGTGTCCTGGGATTGAAGTTTGGCTCCAAAAGTTAGACTGGGTGTACCGTAGGTCTTGGAGCTGGACCAGATATCGGTCCTGGTGGCCAGTATCAGGTCCGGGGCTTGCTTTGATGTCTGTTCAGGCACGCGTTGGACTGGGATTGAGACCTGGAGTTGGACCAGGGTAGGTCCCGGTGTGGTAGGTGCAAGATTTGGCCATGTAGTTGGTCTGGGTGCTGGGGCAGGTCCAAGGGCAGTGCCAGATGTTTGCCCTGGAGTTGGTCTGGGGGTGGGGGCTCTTGGGTGGAAGGGAGTTGGATGTTGTTTGGTAAAAGAGTTGGCCAGTTCTACTACATGTAGACACTTTCCATGTGGGCACCTCGTGTGTCTGGGGCATATTGGTGGGCCTCTACTCTATGGCTCCATCAGCAATAGTAGTCTAGGGGGAACAGTTCTACCATGGAGATTGGTTACCTTGTTGAGCCGGCCCAGCGTTGCTTTCACAGACTTGCAGGCCAGGAATGTGTCCTCCGGGTGTAAGGTAGGACTCTAATAGCTAGCTAGATCTAGTTATTGGTGGAATGTTGTTGGCTCAGACGACCTGGACCAGAGGGAGTTACATGACGCACACGGACGGTGCCTACTTCATTGAGAGAGAAAGCTGAGGTCAGCACAGAGCACAGCAACCGTGCCCATAGCTCGACTTCAGAAGAGTGCAGTGGAAGACTCCGAACGGTTCCAAGGCAAGTTTTCCTTTCTGTGTTTGGTTTTCTAAAGATTTCCAACGAATTCACTGCACTTCGACTGTCTCTGACTCGACCTCGACTCCCGGAACTTGAAAAACCTTGAAAGTGACAGTCAAAGATCTTATAAAAGCTTTGGGAGCGCGGTGGAAAAGCACATCCCTCTTGGTGAATCTTGTCTGTTTCTGACAATGACTTCCTAAATCTCTGATTCAATTGTTTGATTCTTTGTGCGTGTGTGGATTCGATTCGATTCGATTCGATTCATTCAATGTTTCCTTGGCGCTCCAGCATTTAAAATAGTATAATCTGCTCTAGAAAATAAACAAATACGGATGTCAACTCATTTTATATCAGCATTATTGATAATAGTACCTTTATCCATTTGTATTCATGATCAATTAATACAATCACAAACTACAACAACTTTCCTTCTCGGTCAAGTTGTGTCAAGTGGGATGGACGAGTCAGGTTTCTATCGACGTCGATTGAGTTGAAACCCAAACAATGCTCACTTTTCAATTAAAGATGACGCTTCTCTTGCTTCACCTGCGTGAAGACAAACATCGCCGAGTGGGCTCTGCCCTTTGGGCATCCAGTGCTACATTGTCGCGTGAAGTACCTGAAGACAAACATCGCCGAGCAGTATCTGAGCTGTGATGGTTTTCTTGGCAGCGCTTTTCTTGGCAGCGTTTTCGTTCGTTTGCATGGCTTCGGCAAAAAGAAAGATCCTGAATCCTGGCCACAAGAGTTGATCGCCATCAAGCTCTCATAAAAATTGATCATTTATCAAAACAAATAGAATTACCAGCACTCGCAGCACAACTACTGAACTAAAAAGATCATTCACCATGGCTACCATCAAAGACGGAAAAGGAACCCTCGCATTGGCCGCTTTCGACACAAATGCCAAGTTGGAAAAACATGAATTTGGACGCCCCGCCCCTGGACCAAATGATGTGAACATTGACATTCAATATTGTGGAATGTGCCACAGCGTAAGTGCACTTTACACTTCACGAAGTCGTTCTCAACTGCGCTCGTTAACAGGATGCCTCAATCCATGTTCATTATTTGGTCCCTTCTCTCTCCTTCCAACAGGACTTGCATGCTTGCAATGGCGACTGGGGTCTGAATGCTTTCCCCATTGCTCCCGGCCATGAAATTGCAGGAGTTGTAAAGAGTGTTGGCGCTGATGTCAAGGATCTCAAAGTTGGTGATAAGGTTGGAGTTGGATGCTTTGTGGAAGCTTGCTTCTCCTGTGGACTCTGCGAACAAGGCGAACAAAACCTGTGCCGTGAGTGCGTCCAAACCTACGGAAACCCATATCCAAAGGTAAGGCATTGTTGTCTCTCGGTTGTGCGTACGTCGTAGTATTCTAGAGACGACAACCATCACAATCTCATTTCCTGTGGGTACCTTGGTCGTGTAGGGTAAGGGACACGATGAATGTGCTGGTTACCACACCAACGGAGGATACAGTACCTCCATTACTGTCAGAAGTGACTTTGTTTTCAAGGTTCCAGAAGGCATAAGCATGGAGTACGTTGGACCTCTCTTGTGTGCTGGCATCACCATGTTCTCTCCCTTGAATCGTCACATCTTGATGAAGGAGGGTGAAAAACCAAAATCAATTGGAATTGTAGGGTTTGGAGGATTGGGCCAAATGGGAGTCAAGCTGGCCAAGGCTATGGGATGCGAAGTGACCGTGTTGTCCAGGTCCACCAGTAAGAAGGATGAGGCTGCCAAACTTGGTGCTGAAATCTTGGCTCATTCCGACGAGGAAGCCATGAAGGCTGCAGCATACTCCTTTGATGTGATCTTGGATACAGTCTCTGCCCACCACGAGATCGCTCCAATGATGACAACACTCAAAGTTGGAGGAACCTATGTTTGCATTGGTGCCTTCGGCCAAACATTTGGCATTAGCCCCATTGGTTTGATTTTCAATCATCACAAGATTGAAGGATCTTTGGTTGGAGGTATCCCCGAGACTCAAAAGATGTTGGAATTCTGCAGTGAGCACAACATCTTGCCTGAGATCAAGGTCATTGCGGCCAAGGACGCAACCGATCAATTCAAAGCTTTGGCTGATGGCTCTGCCGGAGCTCTCCGCGCTGTGATTGACATGTCTACACTTTCTGACCTTCCTGCCCGCGCCTAAGTGATGCGTTCCCAACCATTCTTTGTGGTTGATGTTTAATTCAAAACTTACTACGTACTAGTAGCAATCAAAATAGCTGAACCAATTATCTTTCAAACGAGTGCCCTGAGCATGCATCTCGACAGCAAACCCATCCAGCGGACATATCCAAATCTATGCAAGCAACGCCAGGAATTGGGATGCAAGGGTGCAGGACATCACCACCATGATGAAAGCAAAGATCGAGAGCGAAATCTGAGAGGCAGCACTTTCATCAGACTCTTTTTCAACGGTTTCGTTCGTGTCGCTTCGCTCGACGACAACCTCCTCTGTGGTGTTTCCTGGGGTTAGCCCGTCGACCAAGTAGTCCAGGCTGTCTAGATCGTCCATCGTGACATCATTGCCGCCGCCAACGACCGAGTAATACGCTCCCATCTATTGAACCAATACAGATACGTGAGACAAGTGCATTCGAAATATGGTGACAACTGGTTGGCAAACGCTGGACGGGTACTCACCCCAATTCCCAAGTGAGCCATCTGGTGACAGTGGACCAAAACATAGTCTCCACGCTTGAGGTGGTTGAAACAAGTTTTGATTGTCATATTGGCTCCGTATATCGCGTACGTGTCTCTCCAAAATGGCTTCTCAGCCGGAACCCCATCTTCAGCTGTGACCAGGAAAGGATTGGTGTGTATGTGGAAGGCATGCTCTGCCGCGGGCGGATCAGAGATCACTGTCCACTCCTCGCAGGTAGAACTTTGGATCTCGCCATGGCGAAAGTGAGGAGTCACCAACCGTCCGTTGATGCCAAATCCCACCCCTGGAGGCACAAAGGGTCCCTCGTAGGGAATCTGGAAGATTGGGAACCCGATCGCTTGTTGCATTGTGATGGTGCGTTTCTTGACAACGGGCATCATTTCCATGTCTTTGTAGACTTGATGATACTCCGGGAGTTCAGTTGGGAGGCTCGATTCAACAGGGGGGTCTGCTTCGAGAACAGTAATTGTAGCGATTGGTTTATCAACGTCGTAAGAAACGCATGTGTCAGACTCAATTCCAAAGGACGCATTACAAGCCTCGACCCCACGGAGACCATGCACAGTCCAAGGATGTCGTCGTAAATGGAATGTTCCAGGCTGGTCGAACCGAACCAGGAATTCTTTCCGAGCTCCCGCCGGGATAGAGACATCTGATTTGGATTCAATCGTAGGAACAATGAAGCCGTCTTCGGCCACCAGGACAAAATCCGGGGCATTGGTTTCCACAAAGTACAAACCAATCGTTGCTTCTACACCGGCACTGATTGTGCGAAAAAGAACGGTTGTTCCCTGCTGGAATTCGTACTTCGTTTCCTCCGCAAGCCTGCCGTTGACAACAGACTTCCAATCGAAAGCCATCACAATAGGGAAGAAAGGGGGTGGTATGCCTGTTTTTTCATCCACCAAAACTTCGTTCAAGCTAATGGTACAAGAGCAAGAAGTGGAAAGCAGCCATGAGAGTCGCCACGAATCGTTTCATGTATTGTTCCCATTCGTTGCTCCGGACTCACATCATGACCACTTCAGTAGCACTTTCAATCTCAGGAATAGCGGTAACATCATTGGCAGTGCCTTCGATAATCATGGCTCCAAACAAACCACTCATCATTTCGTACTCTCCCTGATAGTTGTTGCGAGAAACATGGTTAGATCGCAGGGGATATCTCGTCTATCAAATTTTAGAATGGCAACTCAACCTACCAGGCCATGATTGTGGCTGTGATACCACACCAAACCAGGTGGATGATCTTCTGGAATTTTGAACTCGAATGATTTGGACTCGCCTCCGTCAATAGGGTTGCGAAGATCCTCAATGGACGGTGAAAATCCAGCACCGTGAAAATGTAAGCTGGCCAGATTGAAGCCCCAAAAGCCGTATTCGGGGTTGTACACGTTTCCGATCGAAGACAGCCGATTGTAAATTTTCGTCACGTTGACATAGCTATCGATTTCGTTCTGAGGGTTTTTCACGTAGTTCAATAGCTCAATGTCACCAGGAGGCGAAGGAGGCAGGTTATTGTTCAAGGTTACTCTAAGGGTGTCGCCTGGAATGACCCTTAGCGTCGGTCCTACAGGGCCACCATTGTACTGAGGCGAGAAGCGTGTACCGTTCAGCGTGGTTGCAAATCCAATGTCAAGGACGACATCAAGCACCCCATCCTCGGACTCGAGAACAGGAGGCTGAAAGTTCACTTCAGCTCGTACTGGGCACGTCAGCAGGAAAGAGGCCGCAGCAAACAACTTTGCAATCGTCATCATTGTCGAGTAAGTGTAACAGTTCGAATAGTTTCGTACTCCAACCTTTGTCCGAAGGTATTTTATGAACTGTCGAGCGTTCGCAAGACTACACGTTGCGTTTTGTCGTTTCGCCACCAGTGAATTGTGCGTTCTGTACCTCTTTCGCTCGCATGGCTCGCGACTCCGCCGACATTTTTCGATCGACTCGACTCGACTCGAGCGTTCCATCACGCTCACTTGTTTGTTTATCTCAGGTAGTAAAAGATGCGACCATCTGGGATTGGAGCGTTGTAAACTTTCCAACCAATGGTTCCCGTCGACAAAATTGGACCGTTATGGAACGCAAGGTTGCTGGTTGCTGCAATCGTCCGATTCTGGTACCTTTGCCTTTGGAACAATGTAAAGTGTTCTCACGGGAGCCTCCGGTTCTCTGGGTGGCATAGGCGGTGGCATTTCTTCGTCCTCGTCCATCATTGCCGCTTCATGTGGGTGTTGTGTAGTAAATGCCGTTGCTGGTGTGTCTTGATCCCCTTCGTCGTCGTCACTATTATCTCCCAGGATGGAATCGTCCGACGCGAGCATATTGCTTTGTTTGCCCAGCTCCGCCACGAGTTGTCGTCCCACTTCTTCGAGGTCATCGTCTTCTTCTCGATACGATGACACTCGTGATCTGGCATTGTTTCGCATCGGTTCGGACCCTTTGGAAGACATTCCCATTTCGATTGCCGGTGACCAGTAGACACTACTATTGACCCACGGCTTTTTGGTGACGAAACTTGTCGTTTTTCGTTTGGTGTCGCCATTCTCCTGGGATCCACCACCACCGGTGGAAGCACACGTCCAAAACTCTCGTACAGCTTTCCAAATATCCGGTTTCCACAAACTCACAGCCGCCGAAACGAGTCCTTGCAAATGACTCCACGATCCTCCGGCCCATTGGACCCACGGATCGAGCCATGCGGACGTGACAAAGAGAAAGAGCAATCCCGGCAACCACATGACGACAAAGACGGCTGCCAATCGGAAAAAGTAAATGGACAGAATCCGTCGTCGTCCGGTGGGGGGTAGCATTTTGTATTTGTAGATTTGATATCCGGCCCAAATCACGTAGGCGAGTGGGATTCCAAAGAGGAGTGGGAAAAAGACGCAATAAAAGAAAATGCAGGATTTGACGTCGTAGTCCATGGGTATACAGGCGGCTCCAATGGTGAGGCGTGTTTTGTGTGGCCACCATGTGGCATCAAACATGGCGAGGGTTGCCAGGAAGATTGCGTATAGGTAGACACAGAGACATTCCTTGGCGACTTGTGGATTGGATGGGAGGTCGTGTCGTTGAAAGAGACGGGCTGCATTGAGCATGGTGTACAGTTGTCGCGTTACCAGCAGATTGATCCAGGAGTTGGCTCCTATACCGGCAATCATGTAGAACGATTGGCTGTAGATGGATAAGGAATGGTGGGGTGTGTGCGGTGTGTGAGAGATAAGAGAGATCAGACAGAATGAAAGACCACGACCCTCTCAAAGGCGGTACAGTACGTACAATTTGCACATGAATGGTGTGGTAAAGTGTCCTGCCAAGGCATTGGATAAGCAGGTGAATCCACAGGTCCAAGCCATCATCATGTCAGGAGTCATGAGGAAGATGAGGTACAGATTGAAGGGATTCTTGCGGATTTTCTTGGAAAAGAGCAGGGGTATCAATATCAGCGTAGTCACAACGGCAGTGATGAGCATGATGGTCGCCCATCCCGTCCAAAACTTGACCAAGTCACTGTCGGGAGGAGCGGCTATCATGCGGTCCCAGTGCGTCGAATTCTCATCTAGTTCCCACATTCGAATGGGAATCTCGTTGATGGGGACGCTGCTGCTCTCGCCATTATTCGAATTCGAAAGCAATCGTAAGTCCTCATCATGGCTGCTCATCCTGCCCTGGCCAGTTTGGTTTATCAGTTCAGCAAGTCTAGCTAGCTAGCTAGTGTTGTGTTGGGTCTTTATTATTGGTGTGGTGTTTGTTTCTCTGTGCTCTCTGTGCTCAATGCTGTCTTCGAGAGGTGGCTTCGAGCGATCCAAGACCGCAACAGCTGCCTAGTAGAATAGCGGTATCGATAGCGGTCATACCGGTGGCCGCAGATAAAGGCGAGAGCAGCGTTGGTGGTGGGATGGCTTGTACCGTAATAGCTGTACTAATACCGTGTGGGTGTAGGCTATAAAACCACGGACAAATAAATGCTGGTGGCGGTATTGTAATTAAAGTTCTTACGGGGGTCACAGAATTGGAAGAAGGCAGCATCATGCATCGGTGCCCTCGCTGAAACTTTGGACAGGTGAGTCGTTAAGTCTTTGAGATTTAAAGGGGTCACAGATCAGAAAAGTCTTAACCAAGAGTCAGAAGGGTGAGCTTGGGTGACGATCAAAAACACATGAATGTGCACAGAATGTACGACTACAGTTAGAAAAAGAACCACAAGGTGAACATAGGATTTAATACTGTCTCCAAACCCACGAAGGAAAGACGTTCTGAGTTCAGAAACAAACACGATTGCAATGAAGCCGGCGAGTTCGTTGAAACTGACGCGTCCTAGTTACTAGTAGTTGGTTCGCCAAACCGTTGCTGTCTGGGCAAAGCTTCTCTTACAATGGAGGCTCCACAAGCCAATGGAGTCCTCCTCCAAACACCACACACAAATGTTCCTTTTTCTCTCATAGAAAGGGACAATGAACTGTTTTTCCAAGCACTTTTGGAAAGCCCTCCCTGCACTGGAGACCATAGTCAGAGGTTGGCGCTTCCAGAGCACTACCTTTGCCACAGTTGCCGCCAGCATCCATATGTTCAGCAGTGCAAAATAGAGAATTGCCTTTACTTAAAATGAGTCGGACAGGAAAGTGAGTGACTTGCCTTGAGCAGCCTTCGTTTGATGATGCATCAATGTCATTCCAGTGCCGAGATGGTCCCCTCGCTGGCAAAACTCATGACCACCCTGGTGTCAGTGGAATAGTGCCTGCCAGCCCAGGTTCGTCATTGGCCGAAATGGGAGCTGAAATTGTCATGAAGGGTGCAGCATTACGCAGATGGCTTTGTCAGCTTTACCCAATCTGAAAAGGCCAACCAAACTTTTTCACAGTGGGCTGCCATACTTGACGGACGATGAACGTGTCAAGCTTGGGTCACGACCCCAGGAAGATTTTGGGTTGACAAAAGAAGGCATGGATAAGGCTTTTCAGGGCTACAATAGGATGTTGGTGAACAAGCACTTGTACATGTATTGATAAACATCAAACTAGAATGAGACAACGAATTGTTGTTTTTCGATTGTTCCCAGCGTACCGGAAGATGATCGAAATAGTTCAAAACTTTGAGCTACATTGAAGCCCCAGCACTCTTTCAACAGCAGACAGTGGCTTGATCCAGTCCAAAGATCTTGGTAGTGCACCTCGTCGCCTTACGGTAGACTACTGGTACCCCCGTCGTCTTATACCCTGCGAATGATGTTGAGGCCAGTCACGGAACTCTTGGCTGCAAGCACATCTGCATCTGCATAGAGAACAATATTCCAGGTGCTCGTTTTGGATTTCCCTTTTACGGTGTACTGCAAGCAAGATTTCTCTTGGTTGAAGACGAGGTTCTCGCCCACAATGTCAATTGCTGGTACAAAAGGCAAGGTTTCCACCGACAATCGAAGCTGGCCCTCTTGCAAGTCAAAGACGATTATTTCACGGTTGGGTAGATATCCATCCAACCAACCTCCCACGAGTGGAAGTTGAGCGACAGCCGAGCTGAACACGAGCTCAAAGGTCCCATCGATCAAGCTTGGCTGAACTGATTCTTGTGGTTGCTGCTGCTCCAGGGATTCCAATATGGGAATTAGTCTGAAAGAGGGAACTGATCGATCCAAGGCGGCTTGGCGAATTACATCGACATCGGAGTCAGTACCCGCTAAAGCTAGCAACCACCAACCCTTACAGTGCTGATTTGACGGGGAAACTACAAACGCCGAGGCAGGTCCGCAGAGGAACGATAGGAAGGAGGCTGCAGCTACAGGAAGAACCTGACAGAAAGCAGAGAAGGCGAGTTGACGGTAGAGCATGTTCATACTGTACTACTAGCTAGTATTGCTCTGCAGTGTCGCTAGGGCAGTTCGGTCTCGGATGTCTTGGCGACATGTGTCGGCTTGATGCAAAACCAACGATGTCAAAGACTGAGATACCGTCACAGTCTGGACAATGCTCAACCGTTGAGCTGGCTTAAAAGAGCTCCTTTGGACATTCATTCTCTGGTTCTTTGCTTATGTCGCATCGATTGACGAATCCACGTGATATTCGTCATCTTTGCCCTTGACAACAAGATTGCTTTTCTAGCTGGATGGAGGTGAGGTCAACTGTTACTACTTTCGATACGGTTTTCATGCATCGTATGCGTAGCGTTGAAGTCCCTGCTACCGCAAATCCAAAAGTTGCCGGTAGCTGGAGCAGCTACCGTTTGTGGCACCTACTTGAAAGACTGGAGGTTTTGACCATGGCCAAATTGCAACAGCCGCCACAAGCCACCGCTGGCCAGGCTTGGCCACAAGCTGCCAATAAAATACAAGGCACTACGCTAGGAAACTAGGCCTATCGCTATTCTATTGTCAACTGTGGCTGGTCGATGTTGGTCAATGATGGTTCACCGTGCTTAGGCGACGACCTCTTTCCAGTACTATAGTGGATGATTCAATCAATTTGTGTGAAGTCTATGCATGATCAATTGAAACCTCTATTGTACTAGCTAGTACCTGAACTTTTTATCCAGACAAGATATTGTTGGCGCTACCGCTGCTGATCCCTGGAAAGGATCTCTAGTAAAAGTGCGTGAAATTCTTTTATTTTAAAAGGAGCTCCTTCAAATATACCCTTAGAATATCTTATCACAAAGGCTTACGGCAAGCTTCTTTCTGCTTGCTGAGGAGACTGGTACGGTCGATGAACATTCATTTGGTCATCCAAAACCGGTTCAAGGGAAAGTGCACAAAGAGAAAGGAATGATCAGTTAGAAGTCATTTGTCTCAGGGTGTCTTTTCGGAGAAATACATACTAAGTATTCCGAGTGGATACTATCCAGTAAGTTGAACTAGGTCTTAAGTGAAGCCTTTTGACTTTTGACCCTCCAATCACGTAGCACTTAAGTAATTTTTAGACGCATTAATTAAGCAGCTCGGCTGCACACTGCTCAAGCAGGCTGCCGTCAAAGTGGTCAGCTGTGTACGTGTGTAGGTACTGGTACTGAGTTTCTACGGTTGCCAGCTAGCCCCTTCCCTTCACCCTTCATCATCAGCCAGAGTACTGTACGTACGAGCACTCAGTGGTACAGGACACCGTCGAAGAACGAAGAAACAGCATTCTGCATCCAGAAACCGGAAAACACCGTTGCCTTTAGAAAAGTCAGTTACCAAGCACGTATGTAGTATGTAGCAAACCTTGGCTTCGATGGTACATTGTACAGTAGTACGGTACCGTAGAAGGACCAGCCCTCTTCATCCACGCTACATTTTACTGTATGGCCCTCATCACTACAGCAGCTACATGTACATGTACAAAGGCCCACGTCGAAGAGCCTATCTTCTTCTCTTTGCTCGCTTTGTAATAATCCGAAGCAACCTCTGACATGTCACCAGGCCACCGCATCATACCACTTTTAGAAAGTCTAGCTCGCCCTCCTGGAAAAGCCACAAGAGCAACCTTCATTCCTACATACATACTACATACAGCCAACCAAACAATCTGGTCAAAGAGTCAGTTTCAAATTCCCACCATCGAGTTGATTTTTTTGAATTAGTTGTTGTTGGGTTAGTCTAGATGACCATGCCGGTTCGTGCTCGCACCGCGACGGACTACGCCAGTACCCGCGCTCTGCGCAAGGCTCTGACATCCGTGGAAGAAGAACCCAATAAGATGGATGAATCGACAATGTCGCAGAGTCATCGTCGCCGCCCGGGCGATACCAGCCTGGACGAGAGTTGGGATTGGGTCTTGACCAACTACGATGTGGGCACCACTCATCCGCAATCGATCCGTCAAGAACTGCAGCGACTGCAAGTGTTGAAATCCTACATGATTTTGGACGAGGACCGTGAAGAAGCATTTGATCGATTGACCAACATGGCTGCCCGGATTTTTAATGTCCCCATTGCCCTGGTCAGTCTGGTCGACCTGGGACGACAATGGTTCATGAGTAACCATGGTCTGGGAGATGTTCGAGAAACACCTCGCAATCTGGCATTTTGTGCCCATGCCGTTCAAGGGCGCAACGACCTTTTTATCGTACGAGACGCGCTCGAAGATTTACGCTTTTGCGATTCCCCTTTGGTGCAAGGAGCGCCCTTTATTAGATTCTACGCAGGAGCTCCACTTTTATCGCCGGAAGGATACAAGCTAGGGACCTTCTGTATCATTGACAGCAAGCCACGCCCGGATGGCCTCAGTCCGGCCGATCAAGCCAATTTGACCGATTTTGCCGCCATGGCCATGAAAGCCATGGTCGATCGACGACAAATTACCTCACAGCAAGACACCTCACATTTGGTCGCTTGTACGGCACACGAATTGTTGACGCCGCTCATGGGAGTGCAATTGAACCTGTCCTTACTGGAAGAAGAAGCGGCCCACGGTTTGGCCACGGCCCACAAGGAATGCCTCTCCAACGCTATTCGAAGCAGTGATTGGTTACATCGAATTTGTCAAACCACCATTGAGGCATTGCGCCAAGACGAAGCCAATAGGAATGAAAAGGACAAGAAGAACAAATTTGAACCTTCCAGCACAAGGAGAACAACCAATGCCAGTAGTACTGCCGAAAGCCCCTTTATTGACATGCAGGACTTTGTCGCCAGTCTAAACCTGACCATGGAATCCATCCCCAAACGGGTGCCCTTGATTCTCACTGTTGATGATTCCGTGCCAGCTCGCATTGTCAGTGACGATCTCAAGTTATTCCGGTCCTCCTTGAATTTGCTGTCAAACGCATTTGCCAATACCAGCAAGGGATCGGTACACTTTCATATTCATGCCAGTGCTGGAATGCAGCACCAATTACCATTGTCGTCACGACGAGGGTCGGTCGAAGTGACCACGTTGCTCATGCAGCAACCCGAATTTCTCGTCTTTGAATGCATCGACACCGGTCCAGATTTGCAAGTGGACGACCCCGATTGCCTCTTCAAACCATCGGCCAAAACCCTAGGAGTTGTCAAGGATTTGGGACTCTATTCCGTAGCCTATCAAGTGGAATCGTTGGGAGGATCGTACGGATACCAGTCACGTCGAGACACGGAACAAAAACAAGGCAGCGTCTTTTGGTTCCAGGTCCCTATTGTCTTGCCCGAGGACGTCAACAGCCACAACGGTGGAAGTTTTGCCAGTCTTTCCATGATGGATGTTTCCGATTCCGGCCACAGTGCTTCGCTGGCGACACTGGATTCCTCCGTCATTCATTTCCCGCCCGTGGTGTCGCCCCCGACAACCACCAAGCCTCGACATCATAGTATCCAACGGCGGCATCCACAACAACAACCTCATCTACAGAATCTCAGTGTCAGTTACCACGGCGGCACCGGCTATGACGCCCATCGCCGTCAGTCCATGTCCAATCACGAAACCCTTCAACAGCAAATAGCCGTCAATCGATCGGGGATTATGGCCGTGGCGGCAGCGTCCATGCCAAAATGTGAAGAGGGAACATCATCGTGTTGCGAGCTGAGCAAATTGGCAGAGTTTGGTGGCACGCTGGAGGCTTACAAGGAACATCAAATCAAAGAACGAAATGCTAGATCCAAATCTCCTCTTGTGAGTCGACAGGCACGGCTTCGAGCCTTCTTGTCATGGGACGACGCTACCGCCGTCGCTAGTACCCCGCTACCACAGGAACCTCAAAACAGTGACAGCACCTACAACAATCGCAGATTCAAACGGAATCCAGTGCCCAAGACAGCGCAAGGATTATTATTTCGTCGAACCCATTCGACCGGGGATTCTTCTGCTGCTAGAGCGCTCAAGGCTCTCATGGCAAAGAAAATGGCCGCAAAAGAGGAAACATCCACTGCAGAAACAAGTGGAACAGAGTTCTCGGAAATGCCGGGTCCCTCCGAAACGCCACGCGGAGACGCTCAAGAGCCTGCTTCAGCCACGAAAACGCCGGTACCCAAAACGATCCAGATCTCCAACAAAAACGGAACCAAAGAAGGCGAATCAGCAGCTGGCGAGAGTACAGTTCCTAACGAGCCACCAAAGCCATTGTTTAGCATTGCGCCGGTCAAGACGCCGTCACCACTGTTTGATGTAAAGAGCAACAGACAAGAACCAGCTGCCGACACGCCAAAGCCGCTGTTTGCTATGGCCACCAAAGGCCAAGAACCAGCAGCAGTCAAGCTGCCGCAGCCCTTGTTTGCCATAACCAGCACAAACAAAGAATCAATCGCAGAAAAGCCAACGCCTTTGTTTGCGTTAGACAGCAACCAACAAACAGTCACCGACAAGCCACAGCCTTTATTTGCCACGGCCAGCACAAGTCAGGAGTCAGTTGCAGACAAGCCAAAACCTTTGTTTGACACAACCAGCGCAAGCCAAAACACAGAGAGTACCAAACCAAAGCCTTTATTCGCCACGGCCAGCACAAGCACAGGTCAGGCAACAGTTGCAGAAAAGCCAAAATCTTTGTTTGCCATTACCAGCACAAGCCAAAACACAGAGTCCACAAAGCCAAAGCCCCTTTTACCGGTAGCCAGCACAAATGAACAAACAGGCATTGAGAGGCCAAAACCCTTGTTTGGCACTGGCAGCACGAGCGAAAGCACAAAGACCAACAAACCCAAGCCCCTCTTTGGCGTTGTTTCTGACAAGAACCCCCCAACAAAGCCCTTATTTAGCATATCCCCCAACAGAGGCACAGATGATGATAAAACAGCAAAGCTTGACAAGGCCACAGAGCCATCTAACACCAACCTACAAAATGAGAAAGCACTATCTGTGACCAGACAGAAGAAAGCTTTGGTGATTGAGGACACAGTCGTGGTCCGAAAAACACTCACGCGGGCGCTGCAAAAACGTGGTTACGAAGTTTCGCAGGCAAACGATGGCGTCGAAGGATTGGCGGCACTGAAAGAGACGGTTTTCGATATCACTCTTTGCGATTTCTTGATGCCAAATATGGACGGACTAGACTGTGTCCAACAGTATCGTCAGTGGGAGAAAGAGAATCGAGCCTTTGAACAACACATTGTTGGAATTTCAGCCCACGTATCGCAGAAAGACGTTGATAAGGGCTTAGAAATCGGCATGAACGGTTTTCGACCGAAACCCATCACCATGAAAACTCTACAAGAACTGGATGGAAGCCCTGCAATGGAGCAGGTGAGGGCAGATCTTGACAATATGCACGCTACGTCTTCTCCTGGAATGCACAACACATCGACCTCTAGAGATGCCGAAAACTTGGATGGCTCTGCTGCAACCAATGTGGACAGCGCGGCAAAGACACAAAAGTCTTGTCTAATGGCTACTGGAAGATTCGATGGAGAAACAAGACAAGCAGCTCGCAAGATGAGCGACGATGGGTGGGCCGTAACGATTGTGGAGAACGGCTCCAGTGCCTTGGAGCAGCTGAAATCTCGCAATTGGGGTGCCGTGGTTTTGGATGACCATCTTCCAGCGCTATCTGGCAACCAGTGTGTCGAGGAGTTTCGTGCATGGGAAAGCCAGAATCGAGTGAACAGACAAGGCAATCTTTTCATCGTGTGTACTGATGTCGTCCTACCTCCCGACACTAATATGCTCCCACCGGCTGGCTTTGACGGGGCAATGGATAGTCAAGTATCGTGGGACAGTCTCCAGAACTTGATCGGTAAACAGACTTCTCGCAGGTCGACGCGTGAAGGCTTGAGCATCGTTACTAGATAGATAATAGGACCGAGTTGGAAGCAACTCTGCTGCTAATCGGTACATAGACGTCAACTTCTCTATTTTGGTGCGGTTGCTGCCGGAAGGAAGGAGCACTTCGTAAGGCCCATCCTCTGGATCTACTAGTACCGGTACTGCAGGTCCATCGCCAGGCCCAATTGCTTCACTGCTGGGCCAACTAAGGCCACTCCTGGACTCACGCCCCCATTCTCTGGCCATCTCCATGGCCAGCCAACTTCCGGACCAACACAGGGCCCTGCTCCTCGACCCACCCTGGGCCTCCACATGGACCTACTTCAGGTACAGTACCACATCCTAATCTCCCGCTAACCTGTCGGCATCCTTTGCCAATCCACTGGCTTCCAACGGGTTATTTACCATTCCGGTGGGGATAGTTCTGTACTTTTATGGTTCTGTAGTTTTTTTACTAGTCTTTTGGTGCTGCAGTTGACAACTTACGAGCGAGACTTCACACCATCTGGGATGCAGGAGAGCCCGTCTCATTTCGGCGAAGCCGTCCGCCTCCTGGTTACATTCCCCCTGCACCAATCAACTACCGTACCGGTATGATCTTAATGGAAATGATTTCGAGGTGTGCAAGGCGGTTGAATTGGAGGGAGAGTACGAGTCTGATTATCAGCAGCTTGTTTCTGTACCCTTTTATGGTTCTGTAAAGGTAATGTACATGTTGTTCCAGCTTCAGTTCTATGATACCTAGCTACTAGTACTGGAGTAGTAGAAAGAGGGGCAATGTTGATGGAGAAGGCACTAAACTGTTCAAAACCAATTATAAAACCACGAGAAGAAAGAAAAATTACTCCAGTACATCTATGCGGAGCACAAGTCCAGGTCATCACAACAGTTCACAAACTATCATCCATTCATTCCACACAGTAGTTGCACCAACTGCTCGACTCTAGACCCGGCAATGATTTTGGGTACTTCTTCTCCACTCGCACGCAGTCACAAAGTTCAAACCACATATCCGCTTGCCCGGTAGGTACCGGTACCGGTAGGGTCTACCGTACTGACCGTTCTAGCTAGCTACAGCGAGCATCATCTATTCCAAACTCCAGCCTGCCATTCCACGTTATTAAAAGAATCGTTTCATTTCACCTTTGGCCAAGGATGCTTCATCTTCTGGTGTTGCTTTTCGAAAGCGAATTGTCAATTTGCCAGCAGGTTTACCAGCAGCCTCCGGGGGAGGGGTAATGTCTCGTTCCACCACTCTAACCGCGTTTCCTTCTGTGATCAATTCTTCCGTAGTGACTTCTATAGTCCCCAAGTCTTCATCGCTTGACGCCACATCATAATCCTTTACATTAAACGTAAGTCCACCAGCATCTATAAGCTTGTAGGAGGGAGTGCTCAAGACATAGGTGGAATTATGTGAAGGGGTCCATTCGGGGTTCAGCCTGTCAGAGGAAGGTAAATTCATGAGTTGTAAGCAAAAACTTGATGTAAGACGCCTCGAATTATATCCATAGGATTGCTGACCCAAAAGGAATTCACTAATTGCTCCTCAAAAGTGTACCTGTACCTACGTTTTCTTCCGATATTTTGTCTTGTGGACTATCCCATGCTTTCCCATCGACACGACGACGTAGGGATCGGAACTATTGATGTCCCCTATCAACAAGTCTTTTCCCGAACTGATCTCAATCAGAATGGCGATGTGTTCTTCAATTTCCAACGTTGTCATGGTCTTATTGTGCCTTGCTCGATCAGCAGAGTTGGGATGATACCGAACACAATGTGGGAAGATGACCTGATGCTGTGGCTGTGTGGTTTGCAATTATTGAGGGTATTTCGGCAGGACTGTCTCACCAAGTTACAGAATACGACTGTACAGCTCTGAAGGCTTTCTCCTTCCCTCACGTACCGGTACGACTGGAGCGTCCCTCAATCGTGGGTGAGTTTAAGGTGGTTCCGTCCAGGATGTAAGCCAGCGAAAAGCTGTGAATAAATAGTGGTGCGCCCACCAGTATTTATCGCAAGAGATCGAGTGAAATAAGAAACAATCGATCGATCGAACAGCTGCTGCTAAAGGTGGCTCGGAATCGCTGTATGATAATGGCTGATGACTATACAATGTACAAGAGGTGTTGCTAATAGTAGTAGGAAGAGGTTGCCGAAGGGTATCAGTGGTGTGTTCCACTCCACCTGATAGCATTCTTCGCCGAATGGAAGCTTTCGGTCGCGACCGATTCGGCTGAATGAATCCCTTAGATCTCGATGCACTTTGGTGCTATGCCCCCGCAACCACTACTACTCTCTTCCTTACACTATTAGAAGGAGATAAATGTATGGTTGCAGGGGCTTAGCATCAAAGCGCATCCAGAGAATGAGCTCTCTAACACTGCGAGTGCTGATGGACTTTTTGTTGTTGTTCTGCTTTCGTTGTTTTCGAAAAGGAATCTTGCTATTCACCGGAAAACAGCCTTCGAACTTGCCTAAAACGTGTTATTTGTACTATTTTAGTATAGGATCGCGCAATCCAGTCGCCGCTAGCCAGCAACAAAAATGTGAGGGCGTCTTTTTGAATACAAATATTCTCTACCCCACAGAAAACAACGGCTATGTATACGATTGGCCAGCCAATTTATACCAGTCTTCGCCGTTTTTTTATCCCTACCATAGAGTACCGGTACCATCAACAGTACTTGTTGGATATGACGCCGTCACCGACTAGCTAGGTGCGGCAACACTCTTCATTACAAAGAAAGCACTACCTTTGGCAAGCTAGCTAGCTAGCTATCTATCTATCTAGATGGCATTGCTGCCGGCATCACTATCATCATCATCATCATCAAGGGCTCGAACATTGTCTTCCTCATTGTCTCCATCGAGTGCATCGAAGGGAATGCACTCCAAATCAGCCAAATCCTTGGTTCCATCCTCTACCATTTGGGCCAAATCTTGAGCTGTTTCCTCTGGGCTTACTTCCTCCTCAACTTCAGCTTCTGGGATGCTTGCTGGCTGGCTAGAAGCACTAGCAGCTGGAATAGAAGCTGCAGTTGGAGTGCTGGCAGCCAGCTCTGATAGCAGCTTTCCAGTCAACCTATCGAACAGCAACGCAGCCTTGGAATCGCCTGTCATGGTGCACTTCTTGGATTTGGTCGAAACGTGCCCCTTCTTACCGCAGAAGGGACAAAACCTGCCTTTGTTAGTTGTCGTCTTTGTCGTTTTCCTCTTCTTTGCAGGCCGTTTTGCAGCATTCTCGGCATCGATCCGTGCCGCCTCAGCAGGAAGCTGCTCTTGCGGAAGATCCAAGTTTATGCCTGGGCAGTAGCATTTGTGTCGTTTTGCCCAAGCCTTCTTCGCGGCTATCGTTTCCAACCGGATTCTCTCGTTCTTCTTTTCCGCCCGGTACTGCTTGTACTCCGGAGTCTTGAGCCGGTCCAATCGTTTCTGACGTTGGTTCTGCCTGACGGTGAGGTAATGCTGGACGTGGGTTGTCATGTCAATTCCAAGCTTGAGGAAAAGACGGTTGAAAAACTCGACATATCCAAGGGAGACGATGCCGATGGCAAAGGCAAGACGATTGGCTAGCGAACAGGATCCGGAAAAGACTTTGTTCTTGGGTGCAAACCAGGTACAGACACTGTTGAATGACTCGTTTGCATTTGTGTCCAAGCCGTGGGCAATCTCTCTCAGTCGCCCAAGCTCACAGTAGCGCCCCATTTTCTTCCGTAGCAGCTCGTAAAGTTCCGCATCATCTTTCTTGTCGCGGTAGTATTTCTTGCTAGCAAGTTGCTCAGCTGCCGTTGCCTTTTTCCGAGCGCACCAAGCACCGCATTTGTCGTGGGCATCAAAGTGGTGCTCCAAACAGGCCCAGGCAACATCCACATACTCGGATTCATCGCGGTCTTTGAGTGTGCGAGCCATGTAGCCGTAGTTCTTGCCAAGTCGAATGGAATCCAACCTTGTCATTGTCTTCTTGTCGGCTACCTTGGCCAAATCCAAACGAATGAGTTCCCCGGTCAACTGTTTGCGGCGGTGGTTGGGATCGGCACAAAACTTTGGCTCGGGAATATGGCCGGGTAGTTTCCCTTTGTCCGGACGATCTTGCAATTCACCCTTATTCTTTCCTTTCGTCTTTGGCACCTGCGGTAGAATGGTAGTGTTATTGTTGATTAGATAGTCTTTGTTGGACCACTTCAAATCAGCCCGAATGGACGAGTCGTCGTCGCAGCAAAGAAGCTCCAGAATGATGCCTTTATTGTCGTAAAGATCGATCACAATTTCCAAAGCCAATGCCGCTTCCATTGCACCTGGCTGACGAATCGGTTGGATCATGGTTGCGGGGACAATAGGCGTGCTCCGGATAAGCAGGACGGGTATCGGCGTCAGGGTGTTCCTTTTCGTGCCGTTCGCACCGGTTGCACTTCTTGCTCTTTTGACCAAAAGCAATAACCTTTCGGGTGGTTGCACCAACAAGACTACCGTGGCCAGACGATGAATTGTAGAGAAGACCGGAACCTTTTTGCTGCCAAGCGCCGTCGTACGAGCCCTTCAACTTGATCTTGACGGGATGGTCCTTGTGCTGTTCCGGTATCGACAGTTTCCAAGCCAAGTAGTGTTCCTCCGTTGTTGATCGTCTGACTTCGGCGTCCAGATTTTCCATTAGGATTTCATCCCTCAATTCCCGCAAGATGGGGCCAATCCTTTGCTCTATAGTGGGAAAGCTTTTACCCATCGTGGTATCATTCGGTAGCCCCATCAAACCAAGCATTTTGCCGCATTCGGTAGCACCATCTCCATTCGCTATCATCCCAAGGACAAGCAATAGATTAAGTTGGTAATTCGTCAGCCTTTCGTACTTGTCGTCAGTATGCATTGTTGTCTTTGCGGGAGTGGGCAATTCGTAGACGTAGTCACATTCTTCGTTCGCGCATCTGAGTCTAATTTGTGACACAATGCCGCAGTTGTGGACGAACATTATCAATGGCATGGGCTTGTCGTCAAATTTGCAATGAGGGCATTTGGCAAAATCGGCAACCAGCTTTTCGATTTGGCTCGTCTCCAACAGTAGGCGGCTGCTTGCTTTCGTATTGAATTCAGTGACAGTGAATTCGTTATCTTCTTCTTTGGTGGTTGCCTCTTCTTCCTCAGCTGTAGTGGCTTCATCTGTTTCCTCAACCTCTACCACATTCGCTTCATCAAAAAGCAGCCTTTTCTTCTTGTATTTGTTGGTTCCACTGTTGCCATTTCTAGTTGATCTACCAGTGCTAGGAACACATTCATTCACTCCAGCCAGCTTGTTCCAACCAGTGCCACTGGCACTAAGCCTTGCTATTTCACTGGTAGTTGATGGCTTCCATTTGGTGCGTGGTGTGGGTGTTGACTCTGCCATGATAACTACTCGCGGTAGCCTCACGAGTATGTGTACCGTACCGGTATCGAGTGAAATATTCTGGTGTGCCGGATCTTTTTATGCCTTTGCATTGTTTTGGGTGGAGAATATTTCTATCAACGCTCCATGGCTCGCCGTGCGCTCGAGCGATCTAAAGATATAAGGATATGAGTGGGCCGACTCGAAATAAGGCGGTATTCTAGCTAGAATTAGCGCGAATTTCGATATTTCATCAATCCAGTGAGAATACGAACATTCAAGATTCAGGATTCCGTTCATATGCAAAAGATCGCTCCAAAACAAACGTCACTATTTTTCGCAGCTTATTGCTGGCTTACATCCTGGGTGCGACCACCTTAAGATGGCTTGAAGCCAATTTAGAATATTTGTGCTAGTAGCTAATAGCTAGTACCAGATACATGTACCGGTGTAAGAAATGGAGTCGAGTCAGTGCGGCTTTTGCTGGACCGTTCGACGTTTTTCACTCAGGATTTAAAATTGCCCCGACTGACTCCGAAGGTGTAAGGGATTGTTTAAGGGATTGTTTGTTAAGGGATTGTTGCAGATTTAAGGGATTGTTTGTTAAGGGATTGTTTGATAAGGGATTGTTTGCTCCTGATAGGGGATTGTGTCATGGCATATGGCGATAGGCTTAAGGGATTGTTTCGAAGGTTTAAGGGATTGTTTCTTAAGGGATTGTTTGATAAGGGATTGCTTAAGGGATTGTTGAAGATTTAGGGGATAGTTGGGGGATTGTTTCAAACCATTTCCAGTCATGCGAAATTTCAATATTTTTTAAATCCTGAGTGAAAAACGTCGGACGGTCCTGAATCGAATCTTTTAAGATACTTCCAGATACTTCCAGTTCCTGGTACCGCTACTGTACCTACAATTTGCCAGCTCTCAACCCCTTTTGCCAGCCGTTGCCAGTCCCACATTAAACGCCTTTCCAGCTGTCAAGCGAGGAAACAGTGGAAACAGTTAAGCCCGTCGATCCAACATGATCCGAACAAGATCTGGCCAGATCCAACATCACCAAAGACAGACCACCGTGACCAATGCCAACAACGAAGTAAAGCACTCCAATGGATCAAAACAACCTCAGGTAAAGCATCGATCAACCCAACCTCAACCCCACAATTATTCAACAAGGCGAGAGGAGCCACTGCACCGGACGATGCCTCACCATGTCTGATTCGGATGATGAGGAAAACCCCCAGGTCTTCACGGTTGATGCCAGGACCTGTCTCTTCACGTCGGCAGCCAACAGACGGAAGAAAGCCCTCAAGTATTTCAACCACTTCCTCAAAGGGTACTGTGTTCAAATTGGGATTGATGTTGTTGAA